TATATATATATATATATATATGTATATATATATATATATATATATCAAAATAAATTGCTGTGCGTTAGTCTCACTAAAACTCAAAAACGGCTGGACCGATTTTCAAAATTGTTTTTATGTTTTGTTCGCTACAGTTCAGAGATGATTCAGTAAAAAATTTTTTTTTGGAAAACTCGACAGTTCAGCCAAAAAAATCATTATCATTAATCATCATCAAATAATAAAAAAATATAAAAATAAATTGCTGTGCGTTAGTCTTGCTAAAACTCAAAAACGGGTGGACCGATTAAAAAAAATTTTTTTTGTTTTGTTCGCTATAGTTCAGGGATGATTTTAAAAAAATTTTTTCGGAAAACCCGAAAGTTCAGCTAAAAAAATAAAAAATTGTTAATTTTTTATCGGAATCGCTATTGTTACGCTTGAGCCTCAACCATAAGGTTGCAAGAGTGTACCAAAATTGTTCAATATATAGGAAAATACGTACAAGTATACTGCAGAGTTATGCTACTTACCCATCTTCAGTTTGTAGGACATAACCACAAATCTCAAGAAGAATGTTTGTCATTACTTTTGTTTTGTTCGTGTTTATTTTCATATTGTTCATATTTATCTATATATATAAAAATGAATAGCTGTACGTTAGCCTCGCTAAAACTCAAAAACGACTGGACCGATTTCAAAAATATTCTTTTTGTTATGTTCGCTATAGTTCAGGGATGTTTTCAAAAGAATTAAATTTTTGGAAAACCCGTAAGTTCAGCTAACGAAATCAACAGATCTAAAATTGTTAATCGTCTATCTTCTGTATATATGGACAAAAAAAATTTCATGAATTCAGAGTTGATTTTTTGGGATCTTGATTTTCAGGCAATAATAAGAAGCGAGTTTTATTTAATAACTTGACAAAATTCTAACTGTACTTCATACAACCAGTATTTATTTTTTATCGTAGTAGATTAGAGTTTAAAGATTCATAATCGCTGATCGAAAGGTGTATACTAAAATATATTGTAGGTGATACGACACCTGGTCAGCTAGTACATTTTAGAAATAATATGTCACAAATAAGTGACTAAAGTTGCATTCGCGTCAAGCGTCTCGGATGCTCATCTGGTAGAGAGCTTGCCTCGTAACCAATCTACCCGGTGTGACGCGTTTTGGGCCTCAGACAATTCATCCCCGACAATTCATCCCCGACAACTCATCCCTTCGACAATTCATACTCTGACAATTCATCCCCGACAATTCATCCCAGTGACAAATCAGACTATTGATTATTGGGCCCAAGATGAATTATTCGCGCCACGATGTTATAATTTGTTTATCATTTGTAATATTAGTAATGACTTTCTTCATAAATGTATACTTTTCTTCATAAATTTATACACACAAAAACCATGTTAAAAGGGCGCAACTCGATTATCCGCGTTTGTGATGGTCTAATTTCGAATAAATACACACAAAAAAACCATGTTGAAAGGGAGCAACTCGATTATCCGCGTTTGTGTTGGGCTATTACTGAGTAAACACAAACATAAACCATGTTTAAAGGGCGCAACTCGATTATCCGCGTTTGTGATGGTCTAATTTCGAATAAATACACACAAAAAACCATGTTAAAAGGGCGCAACTCGATTATCCGCGTTTGTGATGGTCTAACTTCGAATAAATACATACAAAAAACCATGTTAGAAGGGCGCAACTCGATTATCCGCGTTTGCGTTGGTCTAGTATGTTCGTCTAAATATATATATTTTTAGATTTAATTGTGGTAAATACTTGTTCATTATTTATCTTATAAACTAAAACCGTATTTAATGTATGAAGGATGAATTGTCGGGTATGTATTGTTATTGTATGAATTGTCGCGGGGATTAATTGTCGTGAGGATAATTTGTCGGGGATAAATGGTCACGGATGAATTGTCGGGGATGAATTGTCTGAGGTCCAAAAATCAGCTAACCTAATATGAACTTTTAGTGAAGTTGGACAAAACACTTATTGATATGGCAGATTATCAGAATTTGTCTCTTTTTTACATCGATAGGTAATTTATCGGTAAAAAAACGAAGCACAGTAAAAATTTTTTACTACGTACATAACAAAAAAAACAATATTTTACAGTTCGACCGGGGAGTCGAATCCGGGTAGATGGTTTGCTAAAAAAAAAAAAAAAAAAAAAGTTTATTTTCTAATGTATATATAACTCAAATTTGTGACAAATACAACAAATTAATAGCAAATATAAAATTTTTAATGTTATGCTACTAATTAAACTTACAATACACCCAGACGTGCTTACAGAGCACTGGGTAGAAGTAAGGTAAGCTAGGCCGAGAAGCACCGCTGTCCATCTTACAGCAACAAAGAAAGTTTATTTCTAATGTATATATAACTCAAATTTGTGACAAATACAACAAATTAATAGCAAATATAAAATTTTTTTTTTTAATGTTATGCTACTAATTACACTTACAATACAAGTGTTTTGTCCAACTTCACTAAAAGTTCATATTAAGACTTGTACTACGAGATATTGAGAAAAGTTAAATTGAATTTCCGGCACTAGATTGTGCATAAGTCTGATTGCATTTTAACGTTAACTTTTACGATTGGATAGCTATCAGGGTTACTTTCGTTTCTTCTTTCTAAATAAAATAAAATTTTATTATAATTCCTTCACTTATTAATGGAAAGGAACTTCGTTCCATCCGGGTGTCCCTTGATACCTCTCAAGTTATTTATTTTATTAAGAATTAAATTAAATCGACCGTTTTTTATAATAATTTAACGATATCGTTGTAAAATTTTAGAGAAGATACATCAGACACAATTTACCATTTTAATTTTAATCATCAAAATTAGTATGATCATTTAACAATATCAACTTTATAATATTAATGTTATATTTAGCTGTGTTATAATATAATGAAGTTCATCTTTTATGATCATTACAATACATATTAGCTATTTGAATTATTAATGATTTAGCTATTTTTTCTTGAAAAAGTATGATTCTAAACTCCTACATTCCCAACAATCAATCGATAAAAGTTATAATCAAAATGTATTCGCCTAACATTGTATAGAATAACACTTTTGAATAATTGTATAGAATATTAGTATTTAATAACTTTCTACTTTTATTATAATGATCCCTCTGAATTTAGTTGACAACCGAATTTGTTATTACAATTTATTTATTTTGATAGTTATTATAGTAACCATGGTAACGGTAACCATAGTAACGGTAACCATGGCAACGGTAACCGTGGCAAAGGTAACCATGGCAGCGGTAACCATAGCAACAGTAACTATGGCAACGGTAACCATGGTAACAGTAACCATGGTAACGGTAACCATGGCAACGGTTGATTAGCGTGGGTGGTTGTGGGAGGGAGGTAGGGTAGGGTTGAGTTCTATAATTGATAGGTGCCACTGATGGTTTCTTAGATTGGAGAATCGAAATGATGTTTTCCCCCCAAAAAAAGAGACAGAGAGATAGGGAAGGGGGAAGAAGAGACGGGAGATAGGGCACGGGAGGGGAGGAGAAGAATGAGAGGGAGGGGAGGGGGTAGCATACGTGATGGTTGACGAAAAATCCATTTTGGCTAGGAATTGCGCAAAATCCCTTCTTAGCTCTCGTCTACGGTGAAAAAGAAGTACCTATGCCAAATTTTAAATGAATCAGTTCAATAGTTTCGGAGATTTAGTGATGAGTCAGTGGTATTTCGCTTATATGTGTATAGATATATGTATACAAACTTTCGATAAAAATATAGAAAGTCTATTTTACCTAGAAATAAAGATTCTAAATTATTTCATAAAGAACTTTGCCAAAAATTATAGTATAAACACGATAATTAGATTCGAATAAAGCATTATGATAAGTTACAACTTCTTTAAATAAAAAAGTAATGTTAAATAACTGAATTAAACTGATCGGAAATTGACTTAATTAATTTAAAATTGATGCATAGAATAATTAAAATATTGTTATTATTATATACCTCCATGAATTTACTAATGACAAAGAAGATTCACCAAATTAAACAATCACAGAAGTAATTTAGATGGTTAGATTTTCTTATGATACTTTGGGCTTTGCGCATCGCTCTATCATGTGGTCGTATTGGGTACTTCCGTTGTAAGTAACAGAGGAGGAGACGTCTCTTACTCAGTCGGAATTACAACTTCCCGAGAGTAAGTTATAATTTAATATGAATTCAAATAAATAAATAAATCATATGATTTATAGATATCAATCTCTAACTCTAACGATTCATGACTAATGTATTGATATATGAATATATTTAAAAAAGTAATTTATTAAAATAATATTTCAATAATTATTTCAAAACTTTTATTTCAATTTTTTTGCGCGTTCTAATTGTTGCTTCTTGAAAATCTTAGTAGAGTGAAGTACGTTATCACAAATGCAAATGGCTGCATCCATACTATTTAAAAGTTGCAGATAATAGTTTAGCATACTTAATAAGGTATTACTTATACATGTATAAATATTAATAACGAAATAACATGTAAGATATTGTTCAGGAAGTATAAAAATCACTCTTGTTCGATAAGACCCAATATTCAAACTTGCACGATGATATTGTTTAGCATTGGTGTAAAGTGTAAAATATAAACAATTGTTTAACAATCTATATACATATAAGCGAAATACCAGTGACTCATCACCAGATCTCCGAAACTATTGGACTGATTCATTTAAAATTAGGCATAGGTACTCCTTTTTCACCGTAGATGAAAGATAAGAAGGGATATTACGGAATCCCTATCGGAAATGGATATTCACTTATTGACCCCCGCTCATAAAAGAAATGGTCCGTTGCTATGGTTCCCGTTACGATGGTTCACGTTATGATGGCTCCCGTTACGATATGGTTCCCTTACGATGGTCACCGTTACGATGGTTACCGTTGCTATGGTTACTGTTGCCATGGTTAGCGTTGCCATAGTAACCGTTGCTATGGTAACCATTACTATGGTTACCGTTACTATAATAACTGTCAAAATAAATAAATTGTAATAACAAATTCGGTTGTCAACTAAATTCAGAGGACTGATTAGGATAAAAGTAGAAAGTTACTAAATACTAATATTCTATACGTTAGGCAAATACATTTTGATTTCAAATTTTATCGATTGATTGTTGGGACAGTAGGAATTTATAATCATACTATATTTAAGAAAGAATAGCTAAATCATTAATAACTGAAATAGCTGATATGTATTGTAATGATCAAAAAGGATGAACTCCATTATATCATAACACAGCTAACTATAACATAAATTTATTAAGTTGATATTGTTAAATGATTATATTGATTTTAATGATTAAAATTAAAATGGTAAATTGTGTCTGATGTATCTTCTCTAAAATTTCACAACGATATCGTTAAATTATTATAAAAAACGATCGATTTAGATTAATTCTTAACAAAATGAATAATAAATATATTTTTTAATACCACTTAATTTGTGACAAATTTCTTAATAACAAAGATTAAAAATTTTCATTTTTATATTTGGGGCATTCCATACCAAATCGACCACTTTTGACACCGACCCTTTTCGATTTTTCTGAAATTTTGGTATCTTTCTCTACCCTATTGGAAACAATTTTCAGAATTTTTTCAAATTTTTTTACCCAACCAAAAAAAAGTTACGAGTTATTACAAAAAAACAGCTTTTTTTTTTGTTAAATAACCATAACTTTTTTGAAAATTGACTTTTTGGGTTGTTTTTTTTTTTTTGAAATTTTTGTCTTTAAATGTACTTTAAAAAAAAAATAAAAATAATAATTCGGATTCATATTCAATGTTTTTTTTTAACTTTTTGGAAAAAAACGAAAATTTCGGAATGATTGACATTTTTGATTTTTCTTTTTTATAAAAAACTTCAGTATTTTTTGCAAATACCCTGAAATGTTCAGAGTGCTAAAATTTTTCTTTCTATTTTTTTTTAATAAAAAAAAAATTTTTTTTTAAATGTTTGTTTTTCGTTATACCACTCTGAATCGCGGTTAGCGCCATTCGAAAGGGCTTGCCCAAACTTAGATTTTCTGAAAATTTGAACCGATTCGGACCGATAGATTTTGAGAAATCGTAAAAAAACTACAAAAAAAAATTTTTCAAAAGTGGTTTTTTTGAAATAACTTTTAAACGGCTCTACCGATCAATTTCAAAATCTAAATAGCTCTTAACGTCAAAAAACCACGTCGATCGCCGCCACTCCGGTCAAAATCGGTTAATTCGTTCGTGAGTTATCGTTGACGAAAGAAAACTGAAAAAAGCGTTTTTTCGAAATTACTCCAAATTTTTCCACTTTGTCGATATAAACTCAAAGATTTTTTATGAAGCTTAAAAAACTGCGTTGAATGCCGCCAACCGCGTGAAAATCGGTTCATTCATTCAAAAGTTATTGCGATTTGAAAATTAAAAAAATAGTGTTTTATCAAACTTTTGAGCTCGAAGAGCTCAAAAGCATACAAAAGCTATTTTTTAAGCTCGGAGAGCTCAAAATAATACACAAATTGTATTTATGAGCTCGAAGAGCTCTAAAACTTCATAAGTGCAATTTCAAGCGTTTAGGTATAGAATTGGCGGGAAGTTGCAGGGATGGCCTTTAGGGTCAACCGTTTTCCTAATTTTTTGTCTAGGTTACACAATAAAATTTTATTGCATGCCCAGCAAAGCGGGCGGTTATCAGCTAGTATAGCTATATTGTAAAGATTACAATATTGATGGTAATGATCACCACCATGTCAAAATTCGGAGTATTACCATCATTTGATGGTAATCATTAGTATAAATTTATCAGCGTATAGTCAAAGTTATAAAAATACAAAAAAT